TTGATTCTGAAATTTTTTATCGACAAGGTTCATTGACAGCAGAGCCATAACATCTTTTAAACAGTAAAAAGTGCCACTATAGCTATAAGACTAAAGTACAGTATAACAAATTACCATGGTTCTTAAGGAGTCGGTTAGTTCCTTTTTCTTCATGGAGCTTAGCAACAACAGAAGCTTTAGGACTGAGAAGCTAAAAAGTGAGTAATACAAGAGGATTGTAACTAAAAAATTCATCCATGCAGCGATGATCATCATCATCATCATGCTTAACTACCAATGAAGGTTTCGTACAAAACTAATGATGTATAAGACCATCATCATCCTTATTGACATCTTCAATACTATCGTCATTACCAAAATGAAAACAGACAAAATATCTCTATCTCTTTATGCATCTCCATCTCTAAACTAAAACTTTCTGCTACAACTACAGTAACTAGCCCAGAACTTGTAAAAATGTACTTTAATTCTACATATGCTACAACTCTTATCAGTACAATGAATTGTATTTTTGTCTGTCTCTCTCTCTTACCTACTATGTCATCTCCAAACTCGAAATGTACACCTACATGAACTATTATTATTATTATTTGCATTTTTTTTCTCCCTCTCTCTCACCTATTTCATCGTTAAATTGCTACACATGTCGATGTACATATTGATGATCATCCAGACTACTTTTCGACACTTAGTGGTTTATTTCTGATCTTAATAAAAATTATATTAGCAATACAAAATACTTACGTCAATAAAAACACTAAATCAATATATACATATATATATATATATATATATGTATATATATATATGACTACTATAACTATTTATAAAACATTTGTCATTTTTAGTCACTTTCATCTTCATTGCATCTATGCACTTCTGGTTGCATTTGTTCCATATAATGACGGTATTTGCCAGATACTCTTCATTACCATAGACATGTATGATGCAATCTGAGGTTAGTAAAATGAATATTGCAGAACCTGAAGTATTATCCCAGTCCTTTTGTGACCATCTCTTTTCAGCTGACCTGGTGCAACTGATTGATGAACCCACGCACACTCATAGTAACATTTTGGATCTCTTACTTACTAATTCTCCTGAGTTAATAGTAAATTGGTCTATTGACTCTAAGACCTTATGCAATCTCTCAGACCACTTCATAATCTCGTTCTCTGTCAGAGTGCACCTGCCTAAACTACACTACATGTGGGGCCTAAAATCATTGACAAGTATCATTGTGCAGACGTAGAAGGCTTGTTATCGTTACTATCATCATGGACCTCTCCTCCCACGCCAGCAAGTGATTTCAACAGTAAGTGGGCCAGCCTCAAGGCCTGTATATTGCAAGCACGTGACCTCTTTGTCACCTCAGTTTGTGTCCCCTCCAGACCTACTCCTAGATGGTTAACACTGTCTATCCGGCATTGTTTGAAGAAAGTGCGTACTCTGAGAAGAAAGTTGCGGAGCCATTTTAGTCTTCACCTCTCTGAGAAACTTCTGTGTATGGAGAAAGATCCTAAACTCCAAATTGATCAAGCAAAAGATAATTACGTCTCACACATCACTCAGTTGTTTTTCCCATCTCCCCGTATACTATTTTCCCACATTTCTCGTCTTAAGAGTCCCCCCTCTCTCCCTCAATCTGTATCTTTAAACTCCATAACTGCTACTACTCCCTCAATGAAGGCTACTCTTTTCAACCAGTATTTCAACTCGGTCTTCACTAACAGTGACTTTGAGCTGCCACCTCTCGATAAACTTCCCTCTCCATCTTCTCAACTATGCTACATTTCTGTTTCAACTTCCGACGTGAGTGACGTCTTGTCCAAGCTTGATATATCAAAATCTCAGGGTGCTGACAAACTCTCTCCTTACCTTTTAAAGGTGTCCTACAACATTCTGCTCCCCCACATTACGAGCCTTTTCCGGGACAGTTTTATTATTCCTTCCCCTCTGATTGGAATGTTCACCAGATCACTCCGGTATTCAAGGGTAAAGGTGACCCCCTCTGACGTATCCAACTACAGGCCAATATCATTGTTTAGTGTTGTTTCAAAGGTCTTAGAGTC